TTTTTAATTAAATTAATTTATTCTTAAATTATATTAGTGTATTCTTGAATTATATTAATTTATTCTTGAATTATATTAATTTATTTTTAATTAAATTAATTTATTCTTAAATTATATTAGTGTATTCTTAAATTAAATTAATATATTTATATAGTTTATAAATATATTAATATTCATATTTAAATTATGAATGACAAAATATTATATGAATATATTAAGTTAAATTGTATCAATTAGAGAAAGATGAGGATCTTACTGCTGCAAGGCTGCAGATCGAAGAATTAGAATCCTTAGCAGCATAGATACGCAAGCTCCAATGATTGTTTGCAGGTTAGGATAAGTTTGTTTTCCTTAAATCTTTTGGCCTTGGCTCTTCTGCATCATCACAGTTTTATGGAACTGAGCCACCTTTAAGAAGTCGGAGCCTGGTTGATTGGTATGTGACATTGGCCTAAAATCACTGGAGATTTTGGGTTAATAGAAAGTATCTATATATTTACTTTTGCAGTAGTAATGAGCTCATGGTTTCTGGTGGCTTTAGTGTTTTTCTTATTTATTTTGTGATTCAGGGATGATAAATTAGCAAAAATACCTTTTGTCATGACATCTAGATCAAAGCTAAGTTTGAGATGGTGCTCTTGGCAATCAGTCAAAAGTGGCCCGTTCCTCTGTATGGGCCTGCAGGTGCTGGGAAATCTACCCTTATCAGCAAGATGGCCTTTGATAGTGGGAACCATGGTATTCTATTTTTTATAAGTTTTTTTAATTTTTATTCTTATGCCTATTTTTAATCATACCCCCGGATTGATAGAAGCTGTGAGAATACCTACCATTTAGTCACTTTTAGAGTATATGTACTTATTTTTTGTTTCATTTTGCTGTCAACAACGCTAGTAACATGGCTTGTTCATAGGTATCTCAACTTCTCTCGTGCATGCTTCCAGCCTATTTAATGTTTATATGATTTGTATTTTTACAGAAATAATTTTAAAAACTGTGCTCTTTGTAGTGTTATTCCATATTTGTTCTTACACCAAAAGAGTTTGGATCCTCCACATTCTTTTACTTTCAGTGTCAATTCTTCCAAGCCAATCAGTTTAGGGTAACCATGTAGCAATTTTTTTTAGGAAACATAGTCGATACGGTAAATGCAAAGTTATTTTACATTAGTTTGATATTCATGTTGAGCCTCTTTACCATTAACGTACTATCTTTTCCATTTGGTGATTTAAGATTTTCATGGAAGCTAATTTAAGTCTGAACTTTGACGTTTTCATGGAATCTGATTTTATGGTATTGGTTTTCATTTTTTTAAAAAAGTCACATTACTTTTGATGAAATGCATACTTGGTCTATATTCTGAAAATAATAATTCTCTGCTTGGCGTGATGATTGCATGTGCACTTGTACAGAGATCCCAATAACTGATGTCTCTCCGCCTTACACTGGAATTCTCGTTTTAAAATTACCTAGTTTGAATAACGTGTCTCTATTTGACATGCCTGCTTTAATAAGGCCCTCTTGACTTTTGCATCACATATAGCAGCTGTCCATATTATAGCCATCCCAGAAACTTTCATGACAAATCGTATTGTTTTTATTTTTTGTATTTCAGTACAAAATGTGTCTTGTTTTCCCTTTTTTATTTTCTAAATTAAATCAACTGTTATTATTATTTTTCATGATTGCTCTGTTGTCAAAGAGAAGCATGCAGGGAAAAATATATTACGGTGGTATAGTATTTTTTCAGATAAAGGTTAGCGTATTCTTTCAAACAAAATAAATTCATAACCCTTTTAACAGTAAATTTATTTTTGTTTCTCCTCGATTTAAAGTGTATAAAGATGGTTGATGCCGCGAGAAGTTGGGAGAGGTCGCCGGCTGGGTCAGCGCGACTGTGGTCTCAGCCTTCTTCTCATCCCTGGAGCGTTTCTCCTGTGTCAACCTCTCCACCAACGATCCTGACGATGACGACAATTCCGATGAGGCTAGGGACCGCCCCCTCACCTACTCTTAAACATCCTCTCCACTCCCTGCCAAAATTGGTACTTGCCCATGGCATATATTTTCTGTCTTTCTTGATTTAGTGTCTTGTTTACAGGAAAAAAAAGAAAGAAAGAAGAGAACTTTATATGTTATAAATTTGTTGCTGCTTCTTATTGAAAATGAATGTGTTATGTAATAACGTGTCTCTATTTGACATGCCTGCTTTAATAAGGCCCTCTTGACTTTTGCATCACATATAGCAGCTGTCCATATTATAGCCATCCCAGAAACTTTCATGCCAAATTGTATAGTTTTTATTTTTTGAATTTCGGTACAAAATGTGTCTTGTTTTCCCTTTTTTATTTTCTATATTAAATCAATTGTTATTATTATTTTTCATGATTGCTCGGTTGTCAAAGAGAAGCATGCAGGGAAAAATATATTACGGTGGTATAGTATTTTTTCAGATAAAGGTTAGCGTATTCTTTCAAACATATTACGGTGATACAGTGATTCAACCAACGTCTCCCAACGGCTATATTCCAAGAAAATAAATTCATATCCCTTTTACCAAAATCCTTCAGGTAACCTAAACTACATTCAAGATTCAATTCCGCGTATTCTTTTAACAGTAAATTTATTTTTGTTTCTCCTCGAATTTAAAGTGTATAAAGATGTTTGATGCCGCGAGAAGTTGGGAGAGGTCGTCGGCTGGGTCAGCGCCACTGTGGTCTCGGCATTCTCTCATCCCTCTCCTGTGTCAACCTCTCCACCAACGATCCTGACGATGACGACAATTCCGACGAGGCTAGGGACCGCCCCCTCACCTACTCTTAAACATCCTCTCCACTCCCTGCCAAAATTGGTACTTGCCCATGGCATATATTTTCGGTCTTTCTTGATTTAGTGTCTTGTTTACAGGAAAAGAAAGAAAGAAAGAAGAGAACTTTATATGTTATAAATTTGTTGCTGCTTCTTATTGAAAATGGATGTGTTATGTAATAACGTCTCTATTTGACATGCCTGCTTTAATAAGGCCCTCTTGACTTTTGCATCACATATAGCAGCTGTCCATATTATAGCCATCCCAGAAACTTTCATGCCAAATTGTATTGTTTTTATTTTTTGTATTTCAGTACAAAATGTGTCTTGTTTTCCCTTTTTTATTTTCTAAATTAAATCAACTGTTATTATTATTTTTCATGATTGCTCGGTTGTCAAAGAGAAGCATGCTGGGAAAAATATATTACGGTGGTATAGTATTTTTTCAGATAAAGGTTAGCGTATTCTTTCAAACATATTACGGTGATATAGTGATTCAACCAACGTCTCCCAACGGCTATATTCCAAGAAAATAAATTCATAACCCTTTTACCAAAATCCTTCAGGTAACCTAAACTACATTCAAGATTCAATTCCGCGTATTCTTTTAACAGTAAATTTATTTTTGTTTCTCCTCGATTTAAAGTGTATAAAGATGGTTGATACCGCGAGAAGTTGGGAGAGGTCGCCGGCTGGGTCAGCGCCACTGTGGTTTCGGCCTTCTTCTCATCCCTGGAGCGTTTCTCCTGTGTCAACCTCTCCACCAACGATCCTGATGATGACGACAATTCCGACGAGGCTTGGGACCGCCCCCTCACCTACTCTAACATCCTCTCCACTCCCTGCCAAAATTGGTACTTACCCATGGCATATATTTTCGGTCTTTCTTGATTTAGTGTCTTGTTTACAGGAAAAGAAAGAAAGAAGAGAACTTTATATGTTATAAATTTGTTGCTACTTCTTATTGAAAATGGATGTGTTATGTAATAACGACTGATTTTGTCTTTTTTCCTGTTTTGGGTATTCAATGATCTTGCTTTGGTTGATGCTTTGTTTTCTCAAAAAAAGAAAAAAAAGTGTATAAAGATGAGTATACTAACCATGTTACTCTACTTTTATTTTAGGAAAATGGGGGTGGGGTTCCTTTTACTTTTTATCCATATTAATTTTTTTCGTTTGGTTGAATTACTCTTTTCTGCTGAAAGGTGATTTCTTTCAGGACGAACGTGGACACCCGAGGTAAAGCGCATGAGGTTGAGGACGACAAAACTTTGAGGAGATCATATGGTTTGTTCATAGGTATCTCGACTTTTCTCGTGCATGCTTCCAGCCTATTTAATGTTTATATGATTTTTATTTTTAAAAACTGTTCTCTTTGTAATGTTATTCCTTATTTGTTCTTACACCAAAAGAGTTTGGATCCTTCACATTCTTTACTTTCGGTGTCAATTCTTCCTAGCCAATCAATTTAGGGTAACCCCATAGCAATTTTTTTATGAAACTCAGTCCATATGGTAAATGCAAAATTATTATACACTAGGTTGATATTCATGTTGACCCTCTCTACCATTAGCCATCTGTTGGAAGTATAAATGTTCAAAAATTGCTAGGAAGCACCAAGAATGCATCTAAATATAAATAGGATACTTGGGATTATTATGTACCCTTAACGTGCTATCTTTTCCATTTGGTGATTTAAGATTTTCTTGAGTTTCACAGAAGCTAATTTAAGTCTGAACTCTGACGTTTTCATGGAATCCAATTTTATGGTATTAGTTTTAATTTTTTTTTAAGAAGTCACATTACTTTTGATAAAATGCATACTTAGTCTATATTCTGAAAATAATAATTATTTGCTTGGCGTGATGATTGCATATGCACTTGTACAGAGATCCCAATAACTGATGTATCTTCGCCTTACACTGGAATTCTCGTCTTAAAATTACCTAGTTTGAATAACGTGTATCTATTTGACGCGCCTGCTTCGACAAGACCCTCTTGACTTTTGCATCACATTTAGCAGATGTCCATATTATAGTCATCCTAGAAACTTCCATGCCAAATCGTATTGTTTTTGTTTTTTGTATTTCAGTATAAAATGTCTTGTTTTCCCTTTTTTATTTTCTAAATTAAATAAACTGATACTATTATTTTTCATGTTTGCTCTGTTGTCAAAGAGAAGCATGCAAGGCTTTTGGGGTCATATAGTGTTCAAATCAATCACTTCCACAATGAATTCTGGTTTGCTAAAGCAGCTTGACTTTGATGATTTGCTTTTGCTGCCGGTTGATATGGATCCTTCTACATGTCATGAAAAATTATTAAGTTGCTGGCAAGATCAGCAAAATAATTCTTGCTGAAATGCATCATTATTTAGAGCAATCTCCTATGCATATGGATGGCCATATCTTCGTCTAGGTTTATTAAAGGTATTCTTATTCTTTAAGACTGCTTGAGATGACATCTAGAAGTTCTTTATGCTTCATTGAAAAAAAGAAAAGAAAATACAAGTTTGTTTGTTGAATATATCTTTGTGTTCCCTAATGTATTAAAACATTTTAAGAAATTGAGGTGTACCTGTTTATTGGGAATTCTGGGGTTCACCTTGCAGAAAAGTAAAAAATTCTTGACTGAAGTTTTCAAGTTGCTATATATGAATTTAAATTTTTACTACTACAAATACAATTTTGTTTTTCTGCAGGTTTTTAATGATTTCATTGGTTTTACTGGACCACTGCTTCTGAATAAGCTAATTCGGTTTCTTCAACAAGGTTTTCATATCTCTAAATTTAATTCTTCTTAAAAAGATAGCAGTGGCCACCACATCTCTAGTTTTGTTGTAGCACTCTTTTCATTCTGTAATATCTCTCCATGCTTCAGAATAATTTTTTTCTTTTTCTGCATTTCACTTAGTAAGATTCATAGTTTTATGTTGTTAACTTAAGTCTTCGATGAGTTGGGTCATGTTATTGTTTTGGTTTTTTGCTGGTTCTTGCTTCATCCCATATGAGATGATAAAGAGAGTTCAACAAAAGGTTTCTTAGTATACTAGGATTTTAGGTTCCTGCCAGTTTCTAAAGGAAGAAGTGGTGTTCCTAATCGCCTCTCAAGAAAAAGCATCCTTGTCATTAGCAGGATTTGATTGGACCGAGGGGAGTGAAGGGTAAGGGTAGGGAAGGAGGGAAAATGAGACCTTATTGTTGTAATGTTTCGACTGTATAAAAAGTTAGCCTATATACCAACATTATGAAAGTTAATCTATTTAATGTGGTGCTAATTGTTTCATATATCAATGATACCATGTTCTGTTAAATGCATATTGCTTTAGATATCCAGTCGGCGTTCATGTTATATGCATATTCGGTAATTTGATTATCTCTTGCAAAGTTTATGAATTCAGTTAATCTAACTTCTGCTCATTCTGTTAAGTTTTACAGTTTTCCTATGATTTTGGCATCTTGACTTTTCCTTGTACTCTGATTGTAACTAACTAAGGTCTGTAATAAATAATTATAATGAAGTTTTAGTTGGAATACTTATGATTGACCTTGCTATTTCAACTTCTTTTTCTTTTTTCAGGTTCTGGAAATTTGGATGGCTATGTTCTTGCAACATCGTTAGGCCTAGTATTAGTTCTCAAGTGAGCTTTTTTCTCTCTAAACAATCAATAATGATTTTATACATTTCTCTATTATTTTGTCTATGTTTGTGTTTCCTTGTATCGGTCTGTCATATTTTACAATAAGAAGTGTCCGAAAGTCAAGTTTGTCAAGAAAAGATATGTTTAACATAGCATTGGGTATATATTTAGTTTAGATCAATATCAAGTAAAGTTACAATTTTCACATGTGAAGGATTCTTGTTCTTTTATTCCTTCCAGACCACTAGTAAGCAGATAACATGAGGATTGATTTTGTTGTCATAATAGTTTACTTTCTCTTTATCCTTATTCTATATTCTTATTTACATACTTATTAAAAGCATAATACAATTGGAAAGTTCACTGCAAGCCATTAATGGGTTCCTAATCTGCTACACTGGCTTGTTATTCTAATTTCTAATAAAATCCATGAATTAAGAATATGCTTTCTTTTCTTCTTATTTATGTTAAGATTACATTACATGTAACACCTTTTCATTGCTTTTTCTCTTTCAAAAACAATTTTGTCTCGAAGAATGATTCCAGGCTACTTTTTTCACATTTATGAGAAGAAGTGCCCGAAAAAACTGGACGGTAAATTCTTCTTTATATACATTATGTTCTTTTATTTCCATTTTAATAATGTCTAATGAGAAATTCCTATTCTTCATGATTTCATGCCTCTTGGAATGGAAATATATATGATTGTTTTGGAAATATATGGTTTATGCATCAGCTGTTGCTCTGGTTTGAAGTTCAAATCCTTCTTATTTATTATCATGCGTCAAACTAAGCAAGTAATATTCTACATACCTTCCCTCCCCCATTCCCTTCAATTTTGGCTCTCGTTTATTTTTCTTTTTTTATTGGAGTAGCAAAAAGATTGTTTTTATTTTTTTTAACCTGAGAAATTTACTAATGTTTCAAAAATTATGTATATATGTAAACACGTGTATACATATAAAATCTAGGTAAAATTATGTATATATGTATACACGTGCATATATATAAAATCTAGGTAAAATTTTCAGAGTAGGTTCTTCTACATCTTATAGTAGACATGGGAGCATGTTTATCATGTGTGGATGTCATATTGCTTACGAAGAAAAAGATTCATGGGGATTTTCTCTTATATCACTAGTGGCTTTTAAAATTTTCTCATTTCATGGTTCGGGTAAGCTTTCCTACGTTTAAGTCATTGACTTTTTGCTCATAACTTTAAGCAGTTTTCCTGGTATCTTAATATTGTTTGTTTGTTTCTAAAATATTTAGGCAACGATCATGTTCTCTTTGAGGTGTATTTGTTTTCAACACATATTTTGTGATACAGTCCTCTATAAATGGTGGATTGTAAAAACTATGTTTGGAATCCCTCATTTGCGAAAGGCATTCTCTTCAATGGAGGTATTTTGTTTTTCCTTTTAGATATATCTTCCAATTTATCAAGTGCTTCTATATAATTTATTGGGTTGTTGACCTTGCTCATCAATAAGTATTTAATGGTGTGTTAAAAATTGCAATTAATGTGCCAAGCATGCTTATTTTTTGTTTATGTTTGCTCTGTGGACCATGTAATGCATTCAAGTAGGTTTGCAGGCTTGACTTCTCATATAGCATGATAATATAAAATTTTAACCCTATGATAAGATTGTATGCCATCTTGTCCTGGTAAAAAAGGAATAGTTAAAAGAAGAAGACATTATGGATGCTTTTATGGTACAATGCCATATCCATCTAAATAGTCGGAGGAAAGATGCAACATATTATTGAATATTGAGGGCTAAAAGAAACAATCATTTCTTTCAAAATGTTGAGATGCCAAAACCATTTCAGTTAATTAACATCTTACTTCTTGCAATTTCATTTTTTTATATTTGCCTACATTGTCTTCACTTCTGAGTGGTCAATTATTGTCCTTCACAAGTATCATTGGTGAATGTTTGTCCAAGTGTAAATGGATATGAATTTTGCATATATTATTGGAAAGCAATATTTAAGCCATTTAGTTTTAGTTTCCTGGTTGCAGTTTAAAAATTGTCTGAACTGAGTAGTCAATGATATTGCAAAAAACAAATCTTTAAGTAAATTTTCTTCTTCCATATCAATCATCTTTTCATATGTGGAATGCATCTTGCAATTACATAATGCTGATATGACAGTAGTTTGTTCCATTCTTATTATTCTTCTTGAAAAAGAAAGAACTACAAGCTATAAAGCTTTGTCTTGTTCCTTTTGAGGTAATATTATAACTTTCTTATGTTGCTCTTTGTGTACTTTATGAATAGAACTAATCACTTAACATAGGCATTAACAATTTTAGGAACTTGGTAATGAATTTTCGGTGAACAAACTCTAATTATTATTTATCCTTTTGGCAAGTTTTAGAGTGTCATTATGTTGGATATGTTTTCATGTATATTTTAAGATTATTAAATTACTTGGATATGTTGGTTGATATGTTGTCATTATGCCTTTCCAACTAAAAGAAGGTAAAACAAAGAAAAAGGCTTCTTCAATACACTAATATTTTTCTCATTCTTGTTACTATGTTATGTGTTGTATGAGGCTAGCAACAGGAATGTCATTCAACCACTAATATTATAACTTTCTTATCTTGCTCTTTGTGTACTTTATGAATAGAACTAATCACTTAACATAGGCATAAACAATTTTAGGAACTTGGTAATGAATTTTCGGCGAACAAACTCTAATTAATTATTTGTCCTTTTTGGCAGGTTTTAGAGTTTCTTAAAGAAAGCTATGTTTTATTTTTGGATATCATGTTTTGTATATATATCCGAATAAAATAAGAATCTATGAACAACAGGTATGATTTCAAGTATTTAGGTTATACCATAGGTTACATTTTAATGTTTTCCATGTTTATTTTAAGATTATTAAATTACCTGGATATGTTGGTTGATATGTTGTCATTATGTCTTTCCAACCAAAAGAAGGTAAAACAAAGAAAAAGGCTTCTTCAATACACTAATGTTTTTCTTATTCTTGTTATTATGTTATGTGTTGTATGAGGCTAGCAACAGGAATGTCGTTAAACCACTAATAGGTTTTTCTATTGTCTGTGATCTTGTATTCTTTTTATGTTTCTTCCTTAGTAATTGTTGTCCAAGGAGGCTAGAGGAGACAATGGTTGAATCTCATCAAACCCATCTCCATCCCTAACGAAGGTGTATAAGGTCCTTGGTACAATTCCTTGGGGTTTTACCAATTATGCTAGCTTGTGCTTGGACCTTTTTCTATCATGATTGGATCCATAACTAAGTAAGATAAAAGTTCTAGGACTAGTCAAATATTTGTAGTTAAAAACTTTCTTCACATGCTTTTTAAATCACAACTAATCTAGAAAATAATGGACGAGAGATGGTATGTAATAATATAAATACAAATGAGGTCCCATTCGAAGATCCAAGCGGGGAATAGTAGGTCAATTGAGTTTTGGAACGATGTTTGGGTTAATGAATTTCCTCTAAAGATTCAATTTCCTAGGATATTTGCTTTATCGACTAATAAAAGGGGGAAATTGGCCGAATTTGGTTGCTATGCCAATAATGGTTGGGAATGGGATATTCAGTTGAGGAGGAATCTATTTGACTGGGAATTGGATCAGTGGTGTAATTTGATGTTGTTGATTGAGAATATAGTTCTGAACGAATCAGTGGATGATTTTCTTGCATGGTCGGGGAGAGGTGACGATTTGTTCTCAGTGAAGTCATGCAGATTGACTATTGCAGGCGGTACTGGAGGTAATTTTCAGTGAAACAAGTGGGTGTGGTCTGGTTTGACTCCTCCTAGAGTTCAAACTTTTCTATGGCAGATTAGTCATCAGAATTTGGTTGTTAGAGTGGAACTAAAGAGAAGAGGGGTTCCTATGCAAGATGTTATGTGTCCTTTTTGTCTTAAGTATGAGGAAACAATTCAACATCTTTTTATTTCTTGCTCTGTTGCAGGGGAGCTGTGGAATAGATTTCTTAGGTTTTGGGATATCTCTTGTGTTTTGCCACAAGATCCTTCCGCCCTACTTTCTTCTTGGTCTCATCTTAGAGAGCATTCTTATATATGGAATTTTATCCCAGGTGTTGTCTTGTGGTCTCTATGGAAGGCTAGGAATTCAGTGGTTTTCGATGACTGGAAATTTAACAGCTCATCTTTGTTCTTCATTTCCAGATTTAGGCTGGCCAAATGGTTTCTAGCTAAATTTCCTCATGCTAATATTCAGACTGATTTACTTGTAGGGGATCCAACACTTGCAGACAGTGTTTCTGTGAAATCCTCGAAAAATAAGAAGGTTCAATGTTGGTCTCCACCTCCTCCAGATTTTTTTAAATTCAATGTTGATGGGGGGTTAAAGGCGACGGGTCGCGGGGTGGAATTGGAGGAGTTTTGAAAGATTCGAATTGTTCTACTCTAATCAATTTCTTGTCTGCTGTGGGACAAGGTCCTGTTACGTTTGCTGAGCTGAAGGCCATTAAACAAGGCATTGATTTATTCATTAATTCTGAATGGGTATTGAAAGGAAGATTAATCTTAGAGAGTGATTGCAAAATAACAGTTGACTGGATTTTGAGGCCAATTTCTGCACCAACGTTTTCCTCTACATTGGTTGGGGAAATTGGGGCGTTAATCTTTTCTAGGAATATTATCATCAGATGGATTCCTAGAAGCTGTAATTGGGAGGCAGACAAGTTAGCTAAGGAGGGGATTGGGTGAATGTGTTCAAATTCTGTGTTATTTTGTTGTTGTACTGTTTTTCATTAAGTTAGCTTGTGTAACATGTGGATTCCTAGAAGCTGTAATTGGGAGGCAGACAAGTTAGCTAAGGAGGGGATTGGGTGAATGTGTTCAAATTCTGTGTTATTTGTTGTTGTACTGTTTTTCATGAAGTTAGCTGTAACATGTGGTCTTATGTATTAAGGTTTATCAATAAATTGAGGTGCTCTTTTCCTCCTTCCACTAGTTGCCTCTTTCACAA